TCATGTACATTAATGCATACTAATATTTAGTAAATGAGGTTCTGCCCTACACTAAACTCTATTTTGTTGTTTGTGCTGGCTGTTCCTGTTTGTGCACCACTAGCACATTGCTCGTATCCTCACTTTGTGCTTTGGTTATATCCCGCGTAGCACCACAGCTTACTTGGTAATTTCACAAGGATGCTCTTCATAGTGGTGCACGTTAGTAACTTAACATTCATATGAGTAGAAATTCAAAGTACCTATTCTTAAAAGTCTTCTTTATGTACCTAATCCGAATTGAATATTTCAAAACCGAACATAGGCAATTAACATGGGAAAAACGTTTTTTGCAGATCTTTGCTCCCCATGTTAACTTAAGAGCTTAGAGGGTTTATAATGACACCAATTGAAAGAAGTTTTTTTTCTCATCTAATGATATGCGAATTAGTGAAATTTCAGTTGTATTTCTTTTTATGTTATCAAAAATTCGCAAATAAATCGAATTGGAATCGAATGGAATCACAATTTTCTAAAGAATTGAAATAGCTTTTGACACAGACTGAATGGGACACTAATTAAAATTCGCGGAAAACAATATCACGTACTATAGTATCTATTTCCGCTGTAAACGTTGTTTTATAACTTTTTCCTCGGTGAAATACATTTTACAAAGAAATGAATGCCAGTTGTCATAATCGATATTGATTTCGACTTGAATAACTTTTGAATCTGTTTTTTGTCTTACTAACATGATTTTGGTAATAGGATTTATTACCGAATTTTTAATAAAGTAATGAGAAATACACCTGAAAATGAACAAATTCGTATATCTTTGGTGAGAAAAAATCTTCTTTTGATTGATGTCATTATAAACCCTCTAAGTTAAGACGGGAAGCAACGATCTACAAAAAACCTTTTTCTCATGTTAATTCCGGCCACGGTCATCCCGGCGATGACCATCCCGGCACAAACCATCACGCATCCCGGCACCCATTTACTTCCCGGCTTCGTTTATCCCGGCGATGGGCAATCCCGGCTTTGGTCGTTCCGGCAATTTGAACTCTGCGATTGAAGGGATGGAAAACATTTAAGACGCGGTAAACATATGAAGCAAATTCATGTTTTTCATATTGAAATAATTCACCGGAAATAAGTTTTCTGATTTGTAAAATTTGTAAAAATTACGTTCATTGTAAACACCTTCGTATGTTTCTATATAGTTCAACTTTGCGAAATTTTTATTTTTTAGCTATTTCTTAAGTATACGTTTATTGTAAACAAGCACTTAGATATAACACAATCTGAATAGGGAATAGGGTCTATAGTATCAAATTGAAATTATGCTATTTATAGGTAGGCAAAGTTTTCTGGTATCTACCTGCGTAGGTAAATAGTAAAACCCAATTTTTTAAAAATGGGTTCTTTGCACCAATGGAAATTGTCTAAACAACACAACTTATTTGAACTTCCTTGCATATGTCGGTCTCCTATACTTCTAAGCATTAATCACAATGCGTCCAGGCACAATAATAGCCACTTTCGGTACCAAATTTGACATCCACTTCTAAAGTATATCATTATTTATGTCCAAAAAAAAAACAAAAGAGAAATGAGGTTCGACATACGGCGTTAGGAAAGTGTGCATTGCCGGGATAACCGATGCCGATGGTCGCCGGGATGGGTTGTCGCCGGGAAATCGGTGCCGGGGTGTACGTCGCCGGGATTTACATCGCTGGAATGGGATGCACCGTGTTAATTCGCTATGTTTGGTTTTGGAATATTCACCCGCGGTATGGCATCCAGTACGAAATGAATATTTCCCATTAATAAGTAAATCAGTAAGAACATCTTACTACCAGAAATATAACAATTGCAGTCACCAATCAATCAAAATTTTTTTTTAATGAAATGTGTTTAATAAAGTATAAAGGATGAGGGAATAGAATATAAAACGTACTTTTGTGCAGATTATCGTAATATGTGGCATATATATGCGAGAAGTAGTAATTACGTTTTTCTGGATACAATTCGACTTTAATCTAAATTTTTACAGTCGTAGATCAGGTATCATATGTTGCATTAACGTTTTGTTATTCGATGTAGAATCATTACCAGCTTACCTTGATTGCACGCCACTGATATCAATTACAAAATAAAACCACATGCGATGATGAATGACGATATGATATTGTATCATAGACTTCAAGGAGAATTAGAGCACCAAAAGGAATAAAATATTATTATTAATTGTTGTTGCATTCGCACCGTGAAGAGAAAAGATTTTTATGATAACTTATTGAATAATGATTCTAAATTTGCGGTTTTAATTTGATGCCTTGATCAATGTTTTCCGACATAAATTTGTTTGTTAGACACGCTTATCCAGCTACACCTCTTTGCGTCACTTTCAGGAAAAAAGTAACCTTTAAGTAGTAATAAGTAATTACCACTGGCCGTCATGAAAACATTATAATTAAATTTGTTTATTGTTTAAGATAAAGAAACATCTAACAGTACATACGCTGGCCATATTCTAACTACTACAACTGCACGCGTCCTCATTTTTATCTAAGTAAGCCCCATGTATTAAAAAATTCCTTTAATTATGTAAAACCTCTAGCGCTTTAAACAGCATCGTTTCAAATCGAGTTTTAGATTTAGCTGCGCGTAATCAATCAATATATGAAGCATTACAAACAAGGACAAGGTTTAGTCTTGTTTTACTGTACTGATGCCCATTTTATTTGTGCGTGTCACATGTATCCGTATTTTAAAAACCAGGCCATAATTTTCAAATTAAGGCAACTCATTCATTCCAGAACAGAGGATGTTAGTATAAAGATGTCATCAACATTAGCTACGGTTATTTAGCATTAATGACTATCACGAACGATACTTAAAATGTTCACAGCCATCTTTTATAACCTGTCCTATATGTCGCTCTCAAAACATTTTCCGAAAATTTATATATTCATATATTTGAAAGAAAAATAAACAATTTTATTAGTTTATTGTAATCAAGAACAAAATGGATTAGAGTTCGTCTATTAGGCGATCTGCCACCCTTCCAAATCATAATCGTAATTAAACGTATTCTCTTACCAAGCTAATAAAAAACATAAATAAAATATCATTTAGTTACAGTTACAGTTTTAAAAATTTAGTCGCATAAAATTGTGGGGTGTTATAATTTAAAAAAAACATGTTCTAAAATGATTCTGGTTACAATTTGGTAGTTCATAATTCATAATTTATTTATTTGCAAAATGTACATAGGTAAATAAGCACAGAAAGCAACATAACGTCAAATACAGTAAATCAAAGAAGCTGTAAGACGACGAATCAGCAATGAAGAAATTCATCGACACTACAAGGTTCAATATTTAACACTATAGCCACTATAGGTGGTGCACCAATATTGTTTGAACAGTTTTTCACATTTCAAATGTCAAGAGGAAGTCTGTTGAACATTTTAATGCAAGCGTAACAGCATCTTTTTCAATCATTGATAATTTATGTGCTGGATAATGTCGCATTTTTACGAGTATCGTAATTATGACTTATTTTGGTTAAATTAAATATTTTTTTTAATATAAACAGGCGGATTTCGTAGATATAGAGTCCGAATAAACTTAGTGCCTATTGCATATTATTTCTGAACGCGCCTCTACACGATTCACGATATTTCAATCCGTACATCGTTCTAATGACACTTTTCTGTATCTTATCACAATTGACCACAATAAGGTAGTGTTTTCTTCTAATACAAACGAGGGTCAACGTTTCTACCTTTCCTCCATAGCTTTAACTATGTTCTCCATAACATTCCACACCGCTACTGAGGTGCTCTTATTTCGTTGGAAATCGTATTGATTGTTGTGAGATTGAACACAGAGTAGTAGCCGTGCTTTCATGGCCTTTTTCAAGATTTTTGATATGACCGACAGCAGTGACAGCCTATTAGTCTCCTTTAATACCTTTTTTATGGAGAAGTATAATCTTCCATTAGAAAAAGAAAAATTCATAATTTCAGTTAACTGTAACAATTCGCGATTTTTCATTAAGAATTAAGGACTGTTGTCATATCCAACAGAATTGTTGTTATCATCAACATTAACTGGGCGAAGGAAGAACGAACTACATAAGTGCCCTTAGTATAAAGTATCAAGTATTTAAACACTGGTAAAAGTGTGACCTTCAACATCCAAAACGACATTTTCATTATAAAATTGTGCTGTAAACTGTACAACTGTACATTCAGTAAAGTATAGTCAATCTTTTTATTTATTTGTGTTGTTTATTTGTTCAACGGAAATACCATTTTTACAAAAAATGCAATACATAACATCATATGGTAAAATGCAATAACAAAACGAAGTGTGACTATAAATCAAAATTACTGAAAAGCTTAAAAAATATTTCAAATAAAAATCAAGTGCATTTTAATTGATAAAAAGAACGATAAATTAAAAATTAAGAGTTTTTATTTTAAAACATTGTTACCCCTCTCCATTCATATTTTCTGCACGTCAATAAATTGTTTAAAATGTAGTGTATTAATTAATCACACTTAAATTCAGGATAAACATTTGCCAATTTGTAATAGAAGGCGACAGTGTGTTATTCGTGCTATGATATATACAAATTGGCCGTTGGTGATTCACAAATTCGTAAGTAAAATAGTGTTTAAAAAACCATAGATAAGCGTTCTGTAAACATAGTGAAAGACAATACATATTTATCACTACGTTACCTCCATTCCTTTCGTGCGTTTTAATTAGGTACGTATCAAACTGTTGAAACCTATTTTCCCATTGTGACCATTTAACGAATTTTCCACTAAATGTAGAACAAATTCTATCTATTTTTGTAATATTCTTAGGGAACCTTTCGTTTCATTATCAACTTCCATATCAAACGGTTTTGTTTCGCATGGTGGTAGTACAAATTTTAGCGATAAGAACAGCGTCAGGGAGGGGCCTATCTTATCTTATTAAGAGTAGTCAGGTACATTCAGATCTATGAATCAGGGTTTTCAGTACGTTACAAATATTAATTTAAACAGTATAAATAACTAAAGGCAACATAATCAGAGTGCGGTCCGCAAATAAATCCGATAACTTCGTTATATTAAGAATTTACAGTATGTACCTAGTGTAGTGTTTGTTATCTGTTATGTCAGCTACTTTTGTTCCTCCTGAACAACACAACGGATTTAATTTCAGAACTTTCCCCTGATATAATGTTCGGCAAATGAATAAATATGAGGCTCATAATCAAATGCGCGTGGAGTATTGGGCTCATCTTCCAATTGGTAAACGGTGAAGAATTCGATTGTCCCCAGAATTGCACGTGTAATTCTCATGAACTGTCAACAACTTGTCATCATAACGGACTCGTGGATTTACCCAACGGAATACATCTGCGGGTAGCACATTTTAAGGTACAATCCCTTTTACTTTTTACTAACTAAACCTATTTTAGGTATCTCGACTTGATCTATCATTCAACGAGTTTACAAGCATTCCCTTAACTATTTCAACTTACAAAGAACTTCATCATCTAAATATGTCTCACAATAAACTGTTGTATATAGAAGAGAAATCTTTCCAAACTTTAAACGGTTTGGAGGTATTGGACTTGTCGCATAATTTATTTAAATATTGGCTAGATATAAATAAAGCGGCATTAATCAACTTACCCTCGCTGTACAACTTAAATCTGTCCCACAATCCACTACAAGGATTTTCTGATATCTTTCTCCACCAGCCATTACGAAGTAATTCACTGCAAACTCTGCTTTTAATTAACTGTTCCATAACGAATATATCAGACGATCTTCTTTTGGGATTTCCCAACTTGAAAACATTAATGTTGTCAAATAATCCTTTACTTGCGCTTACCGCGCGACTCAAATCGGATACTCTACAACATTTAGACCTTTCTAATTGTAACTTGCAACGAATGCATCCAGATGGAATCTCCAGCCTTACGAGTTTAGAATATTTGTCGCTGGCTGAAAATTACGGACTTAAGAAATACAGTTCAAGATCGAAATCGTTGAAACACCTAGACTTGTCCCACTGCAACCTAGAGACCGTGCCGTCAGTCAGTTTGCCAAACTTAACGGGCCTAATTTTAAAAGGAAATCATCTACGTCATATTCCCGCAAATACGTTCCTAAACTGTCCCGGGTTGAAGAACGTTGACCTTTCCAGTAACACAATTAAGAAAATCGACGTGTTCGCCTTTAAACCTCTCAAACACGTCCATAACGTAGACCTTTCGCTCAATACAATAAGAGATATACCGAGTGCGACATTCAATAGCAATAAACAACTGACAAAGCTCGATTTATCTAGAAACTATTTGGATACTGTCGTTCAACTATCCAGTGATTCCCTAAAGTGGTTGGATTTGAGTGTTTGTGAAATTCAGCACATCGATTCGCAGAGCTTGGTGTTGTTGCCTAAGTTACAGACCCTAAATTTATCCCGTAACCTGATCGCCTCCATACCGGATAAACTGAGTGCCAAATCTCTTCGAGTTCTGGATTTGAGCAGGTGTGGAATTTTTTCTTTAAACATCTTGACATTGAGTGCGCTACCTAGTTTGCGATCTGTTAACTTGAGTGGGAATCGTTTAACGTCAGGATTAAAACCTTCATTCTTCCATCGTGTTTCAGAGTTGAATTTGGAAGATAACTCCTGGATTTGTGACTGTAAATCTCAGGAGTTTTTGGAGTTTTACCGTTGGTTGCAATACAGCGTTACTTCAAGTAATAGTTTGCGGTGTAGATCACCCGAAAACGTTGCGGGGTATACATGGGAAAATGCTTGCAATCAAATCTGGCGTCCCGGTGAAAACGGAAATGTGAAGGGAACATGGATGTATGTGTGGGCAATCATTGCACTGTCAACGGTATTATGCTGTCTCGCGATAGGAATAAGAAACGTCCGTCGACGCCGGCGTACAGCTCGGGATCAAGAGGTCCGAGAAGCCGAAAGGCAGGAAGAGCAAGAACGACTCAGACAAATTCACGAACGCAACCTTCATTACAGTACCGAGTACGTAGACAGAAATGCTCCAGATCCTAGAGAATTACAATCGCCCCCTTCGTACGTCGAAGCAATGTCAATGCCGAGGCCAATTTTAAGTGTCTCTTGTAGTAACCTACGCGGAAGTCAACACAGTTTGCGTTCCATACAGTCTTACCATAACGAGAATTCTCGGAAAACCAAGGTGCGTAGGAAACGGCGAAGAAACAACAGGCAGGGAAGCCGATCTAATATTTCAGAAACCCAATCGGTCGCATCGATTTCTCATGGAAATACCGAGGTCAGTAATTCAGAAGAGGAATTGCATCCTACCTTAACCATTGAAAGTAATATATAAAGTCTTTGTATTAGCTTTTAGTGTGCAAGTACGATTTTTGGGTATTTTTTTAATAATAATCAATATTTAAATAACCATCAAACATTTTCTTATGTCACGAATATTATGAGCACTTAGTCTTGTCATTTGTTTTAATATTCGTTCAGTCAGTGTAAAGTCAACATACATAAACTTGGCAATGTACAACTACCTTCTACCGGTGTACCCATCATTCATCGTTACCTCATTACAGTTATTACTATTCGGTACATTCCCTGTTTGAGTAGTTTAATACGTTTAATTTAGTTTTAATTGTTGTTAACTTGACCTCCTTCTTTACAGACTCGAATTCAAAATGATCCACAGTTTGCTTCGGGCAATAACCATTTTTTTGAAAGAGAAAGAGGACCAAGTTAAATTGTCGACTGAAATACTCTATACCAATTTAAAAAACGTTTGTAAGAAAATATGATACGGAATTATAGTGTCTTATTTTATTTCATCTGTAAGGCAATCTTTTGCTATTGGTATTTGTCGCGACTGTATTCCTATCCAATACCAATTTACGCCTTTTAATCACCTACTGATTGTTTATTCATTACGTTTCGTAATACTATATTTCAAGGTAGGACTCCATTTTTTTTGAGCTTAGACGCTCAAGTTCAGAATCATCTTTAATTACAATATTCCTTTTTGCAATAATAACTGTAAATCAAAGGGTGACTAACTTTAAAATTTGTTCGCACAGTGAGTTAGGATATAAATAAACACAAAAATCTACCACAAGATAAAAAATTTGTAATGGCTGCAAACACTTACACTCGATATAAAAGATACCTGAAGGTATGTAACATGTTGACGTTAACCGTGACCTCAGTTTTATTTACGAACAGTTTTCTAACATTTAATAAAAATACAGGTATTACAATATATGCAAGGAATTAACTAATGTTACAAATCCGTAATAACTAACTAATTTATATTATTGATAATGGCCACTCCCTTAATTTTTGATAAATTTTGGTCATATAAAATCTAAAATATTTATAGCTATCAAGTGCTAGAAGCATAGTTAGGTTCAACTTATATGTGATGAATGTTAAGATACTGTGGAGTGTGGACCATATCTAGTAGTAGTCACATCAAAGAAATATATAAGGTAGGTATAAGTAAAAACATTACTGAGATCTTAAATGGGGTGAGAAGAATCTAAAAACTACAAATTTATTTAAAATGATATATATGTCGTAGTCTTTTAGTGAAATCCGTCATTTCACGAAACGCCTAGTCATTTATATGAAACTGTGGAACAGTTTACTTTCCAAGACCAAGCGATTGGATTCCCTTCCCATTAGAGATCGATAAATGGTATCCTTATCGATCTAGAAGGGGAAGGGAAATTACCCCACACGTACAAATTTTCAGCGTTTCACTAAATGACTAGGCCTCGGACTAGGCGTTTCGTGAAATGACGGATTTCACTAAAAGACTACGACATATATATAATAACTTCATTAAGATTATAGTATAAAAACCAGTAAAACCAAGAAAAATATCAGAGATAGGCATAGGACATTATTATCTTCAAAACTACTAGTTTTTCGGATATTAACCATATAATAAAAAAGACGCACAATTACGTGTGTTTACGTGTGTCTAGGGAATGCAATACCGGGATCGCGGAATCCCGAAATACCGGGATCCCGGAGCATTTTTGCGGGATTAATCCCGCACATAAATTAAGCGGGATTTTCGGGACTGAGGAATTTGTCGACCAAGGGGACGACTCTGTTTACTTTGATAATGAAACGCATAACGGAGAAGTTATTTTTTAAATAATTGTTAAACTTTTTTCGTTAAAAATGTGCTATGATTTTTGAGGCACTTTAGAAGTTCACATTTTTGTGCTTTACAGGTGAGGTTTTTTCAGTTCTAAGTTAGGCTGAAGGTACTTTTTTGTTAAACATTGTGATAATTAACGATTTATTTTAATACAGAAGTTAACCGCACATAATTACTTATTTGCCAATTTATTTAAAATTTTGCGGGATCCCGTAAATACCGGGATCCCGCGGGATTAACATCTAACAATCCCGCAAATACCGGGATCGAGATTTTGCTGCGGAATTGCATTCCCTATACGTGTGTATAATGTCGATCATGTGTGTAGGTAGTATCCTGTGTTATTTTTAGGAATTTACGAGCAATATGGCATGTGTTGATAATGACTGCTCTTTGTAAGTGTTGTAGGTGTTTTTATCTAAGCCCAAAAGTTGCAAATTATTGTATGGTCTTTGGTAGCACTACGAATAAACCGATACAACGAAATATCGAAGGATCCTCAGTATTACAATCACTTTTAACGACAATTTATTTTAATCTTACAAAATACATTTTATAGTTAACAAAAATGCATCAAATTCATGTCTTGGGCTTTGAGATAATGCTCTTGGTTTTTTTCCCAACGATCTTGGGGCATAAATAACGATTTTGACATGTTTTGATCAAAATCCATGTGGTCCATAAAAATAGATCAAATTCATGTTTAGATCATTGAGATAATGCTCTTGATCTTTTTCCCAACGATCTTGGTGCCATAAATAACGATTTTGACATGTTTTGATCAAAATCCACGTTTTCGCCAAAAATTCATCAAATTCATGTCTTGGGCATTGAGATAATGCGCTTAGTCTTTTTCCCAACGCTCTTGGTGCATAAATAACGATTTTGACATTTTTGATCAAAATCCACGTGGTCGCCAAAAATGCATCAAATTCATGTCTTGGGCATTGAGATAATGCGCGTAGTCTTTTTCCCAACGATCTTGGTGCATAATTAACGATTTTGACATATTTTGATCAAAATCTATGTGGCCTCAGAAAAATAATTTAACATTTTTGAATCACACACATGCGGTTATCAAACGTGCACGTTATCAACTCTTTCAGCATCAAGATAATGCGTTTGAAAGCTTTTACAACTCTAAATTCATGTGTAAAAAATAATTTTGGGTACATTTTGCTCTAAAACTTTTGACCGAGACCACAGAGAAGAGTTATATTGAATTGTTACACATCTAAGAGTCATAGGGAATAATCTAGCGAAAGTCCGAACTCGATACATGACCTAGGGAATGAAATATGTTAATTTTTATTATATTGAGTTCGCAGTTTTTCCTGTTCCCGATTCACTCGAAGTTGTATAACTTTTGTTCCTGTTGAACCAGCTTCCTGAAAATCAATAGCGTCCGTTCTTAATGTCCAACGTACCCGTATACCAAATTTCAACACAATCGGCCACTTTTAAAACGAGTTAGAGCGCACACGGACGGACGGACGGACGGACGGACGGACGGACGGACGACAATACAAAACTATAAAGGATCTGAGGATCCTTAATAATGTGAACTATAACAGTAGATTTCATTCTCCATTGCGCCTTAAGTTCGAGAGCTATATCAGTGTATTTTCGGTGTTTTTCTCCATGTGTTTTAGTCAAGTTGTTAGTGTTGTGAATGGCAAGGTCTATTATTACCCTGTTTTTTACCAAAAATCGACTGCACAAAAATTTCTCGGGAAAACACTTTTTCTTATTAATTTTGGAGCGTAGAATCCAAAACAATTCGTACTTTTTCGATCAGACTTCTCAATAAAAAGTTATAGACTAGAAAAGAAACCAATTTCGAAAGAAAATTCAAAGGGCTGTAACTTTTGAACTAGTAGCCCAATCTTGGAACTGTTTGAAATTATGGATTCTACAGGCCACATTCTATAAGAAAATTTTTTTTCCCGGTCGATCTGAGACAATTTTTTTTTCGGGGCTCAAAAAAAGGCAGTGTATAACCTTCCTTTTTTACCAAAAATCGACTACACCAAAATTTCTCGGGAAACACTTTTTCTTATTAATTTTGGTGCGTAGAATCCAAAACAATTCGTACTTTTTCGATCAGACTTCTCAATCAAAAGTTATAGACTAGAAAAAAATTTCGAAAGAAAATTCAAAGGGCTGTAACTTTTGAACTAGTAGCCCAATCTTGGAACTGTTTGAAATTATGGATTTTACAGGCCACATTCTATAAGAAAATGTTTTTTTCCGGGTCGATCTGAAACAATTTTTATTTCGAGGTTCAAAAAAAGGCAGTGTATAATCTTCCTTTTTTAGTACCAAAAATCGACTGCACCAAAATTTCTCGGGAAAACAGTTTTTCTTATTAATTTTGGTGCGTAGAATCCAAAACAATTCGTACTTTTTCGATCAGACTTCTCAATCAAAAGTTATGGACCAGAAACCAATTTCGAAAGAAAATTCAAAGGGCTGTAACTTTTGAACTAGTAGCCCAATCTTGGAACTGTTTGAAATTATGGGTTCTACATGCCACATTCTATAAGAAAATTTTTTTCCGGGTCGATCTGAGACAATTTTTTTTTCGGGGCTCAAAAAAAGGCAGTGTACAACCTTCCTTTTTTACCAAAAATCGACTGCACCAAAATTTCTCGGGAAAACACTTTTTCTTATTAATTTTGGTGCGTAGAATCCAAAACAATTCGTACTTTTTCGATCAGACTTCTCAATCAAAAGTTATAGACTAGAAACCAATTTCGAAAGAAAATTCAAAGGGCTGTAACTTTTGAACTAGTAGCCCCATCTTGGAACTGTTTGAAATTATGGATTCTACAGGCCACATTCTATAAGAAAATTTTTTTTCCGGGTCGATCTGAGACAATTTTTATTTCGGGGTTCAAAAAAAGGCAGTGTATAACCTTCCTTTTTTACCAAAATCGACTACACCAAAATTTCTCGGGAAAACACTTTTTCTTATTAATTTGGGTGCGTAGAATCCAAATCAATTCGTACTTTTTCGATTAGACTTCTCAATCAAAAGTTATAGACTAGAAACCAATTTCGAAAAAAAATTCAAAGGGCTGTAACTTTTGAACTAGTAGCCCAATCTTGGAACTGTTTGAAATTATGGATTCTACAGGCCATAATGTTTCGCACTTATCATAGATTGCAACACAATATAGATATATTTCAATGATTATGACAACACATAATATGTAATGCAGGACTCAAAACTATACCTACATGTAACCGGATATTTTCTGTATAAGACTTTGTCTGTTGGAAATAAATATTATTATTATTAAAAGATTTATAGGTAGATCCAAGAAGATATCACTTAAGTCAAATAATCAATTGCTCACGTGAAGGAAAAAACTCATCAATCCAACCACTTCCAAACGCCAACGCCGTCACACTCCACTGAACTAACTACTATAGGTACTCTTGCCCCTTTTTTACATTTTTCAAATGTAAAACTCACCCAGTAAAGAATCCCCAAACGTGGCGGTCAGCAAAATAAAGGTTTGCGTCTTTGCGACCGACAGCTCGATGTGAGTCTCTTATAAACCCGATGTATGATGATCAAATATACTGAAACCGGATGTACGGATTTTGCAACACATACATTATTCGACGT